TCCCCTCGCAATCCTTTGGTACTGACTCCCCTAGTTAAGGCCAGCTCTCCCGCTAAATGTCACCGGAGCACTGTCGGGTAACAAAGACTATTACGTTTTCAGCTTACTGGTGACAGCAGTAGTAGCCCAATTTGTGAGAACGTACGTCGTACAGACAGAACGCCGGCGTCGAATCGGTGAGCTAGTAGTAGTAGTAGAAATGAAACCGTTTACCCTCGTGAGAATTCGAATGGGACATATACAACGTGCTCCGTAGAAATGGGTTGTGAAAAGGGGGAAACATTTAATTCAGGGAAAAGAGTGCTTTGGGAGTTGTTTTTAGTTTGGTTCTGGGTTGATGGGGGGTTTTTTTTTTGGGGGGGGGGTTGTTGTTTGTTTTTGGGGGGGCGGGGTTGTTTTGTTGTTGTTGTTTCTTTGTTGTTGTTGTTTTGTTGTTGTTATTTTGGGGGGGAGAGTCGGTTTGTTGTTGTTTTTTGTTGGGTTTTTTTGTCCATCTTCCGGTTTTATTTGTTGGGATTTTTATTTGTTGGAAGGTATGTAGAATGGATGGGGAGGCAAGTGGAAGAGTAACAAATAATATCTAATGTGTTATTTTAAGCTCAGTGGCAAGAACTGAGACTTTTTATATCGTTCTATTTTAAAATCCAATAAATAATCATATCTGTAAAAATAAATAAGGATTAAATCACTGTTTAAGAGACAAGGAACATACAACCTCAATCGTTGTGATGTTATTATTTCTAGGATATGGAGTTGTGAGAGCATCAAGTTTCCTGTGTGTAGGAGTAGAAGAAGTGGAGACTACCGGTAGACCCCACATTCTCATGAGCAAGTTCTGAACAAGGACGCAGTTTGGGGGGGGGGGTAATATTTTCCAACTCAGGAAAAGATGGTGATCTGTTTGATCAGTATGTATAGAAAAAAATAGAACAGACCATAGAAATATTTCCCTCGGGAAAAAATAATAAAGTAAAGAGAAAGGAAATAGAAACTGGAAACTAAAAGTTGCACGATATCTCACGAAGTATCGAGATTGTCAGACCATCTCAGAACTACGACAAGCGACTTTTTTAAATTTTCCTTTCAAAATTTTGAGCCACATTACTGAACAAAATATCCTGTGATGAAAAACAACAGTATAATAATATCTTTGCAAATGCAAACTCCGGCTTCACGTATTTTGATACGGTAATCGTCATTTCTGTCTTTTAGTATCCTGGAAAATATTAATATATTTGGCTACAACAAACCCTGCCTTATCGTATCTTATCTTATCTTATCGTATCTTATCTTATCTTTTTTTATCTTATCTTATCTTATTTTATTTTATCTTATCTTATCTTATCTCACAGCACCGTTAACGATTTCTCCTTCCCCCTCCTTTCCCCTCGCCCCACCCCCCACTCATTTCACACTTGAAAGTATGATCATCCAGCTCTCCTTAAAAAACACCACATACTCACCTTTTCCCACTGAGCATTCCCCCCTCCCTCCCCCAACTCCCCGCCGGCTCCCGTCTAATGTCCCCCAGTTCCATTCCAAAGTACATTCCCACCAATCTTTTACGCCTCTCTCTCCTCTCTCTCTCTCTCTCTCTCTCTCTCTCTCTTGCTCTCCGTCTCTCTCTCTCTTGCTCTCCGTCTCTCTCTCTCTATGTATCTATCTAGCTAGCTCTATCTATCTATCTATCTATCTATCTATCTATCTATCTATCTATCTATCTATCTATCTATCTCTATCTCTCTGTCTCTCTCTCCGTCTATCTCTCTGTCCCTCCATATTTCTCTGCCATTCTCTCAAAGGGCTCATTCTCTACCATCTCTCTCGCTCACCTTCTCCCTCTTCTCTCTTTATGTGTGTGTATATGTGTATGTGTGTGTGTGTGTGTGAGTGTCTGTGTGCGCGCGCGCGTGTTTGTGTCTGTGGCCATCTGCCAGACTGCCTGCCTTTGTCTCTCTCTCTCT